GGGATTTAGATCTTAAACAACTTTGAACCTGCATAAAGCTCTGTGGAGATAGCACTGTGATCCTGGCAAGATTCTGGCACGTCATTTTAAGTCAGTCTGTGCAATGATGCTTTTGTGATATGCTTGTCCATTGGGAAGCTTGCTGAACTCTCATTTCCTGCAGACCGTTGAATGGCACATCACTGTTGCCATGATTAATTGTGCAAATGCAGAGACAAGGTTCTGTCCCTAGAAGTTCTGCAGACAAGTTTGGGTATAAGGAATGCGATTCAGGCTGTTTTAATGAAATTGCTTCCTCAGGACAGATATATTAACATTCAAGCTTAGTGTTTCTATACATAAATAAAATAAAATTGATTTAGAAGAGTTTTTCTAAAATAGCTTTAACATTTTGAGTTTTAATGAAAGGGGCCTAAATAAAAAGCATCAGGATAATAAGTAAATTGTGCCCTCGGGTATTATCCACTAGATGCCACTCTTCTCAAGCTGTAGGCAGTGGGATCTGCTTGCTTAAAATACAAACAATTAAGTATTTTCTATTATTAAAAAGTAATTTCTTCATTGTGGAAAAAAAATTTGTAGTACTCAGATTGTAACTATGAGTTTCTGAATGAAATTCTTGGGTCACCTATTTAAAGACCCAGATGAAACTGCCTTGTATTTAGAGTGATTGAACTTTACACTGACTTGTGAAGAGTTTGCAGGCAGTCAGCATTTCTAAGATGATTCCCATTTAGTGTCCTCAATGATTTTATGTGTAAAATCTCATTTAACTGAAAATGTTGTCGTCGCATCAGTAAGTTTAGTTTTACATCTGTTCAGGAGTGTTTTTCAAAGCATAGCTTCTGAATATAAAGATGTTTTGACAATAAATAATAAATATCCAACTTCCCCTGACTTCTTTTGGTGTTATCACGAGTTATCTGATACACTTCCTTAGTCTACTCTGATAATAAACAGTGGTATGCCTAACAATTGTAATCCAAGGTTTTGAAGGGTCATGAATTTGCTAATAAGGTAATGGAGAACACTTAATCATGGGATCCCACATTCAGATCTATCAGTGAAGCAACCAGTTAAACTCTTTAGTCATTTCACGATATAAAGCCATGCTAGTTGTACCTGTGCAATCTGAATGGATGGACGCTCAGTTGTAGCTGCCTGGCAGCTGGTGTCTCAGTCACTTTGTACCACAATTATTTTTTTTTCTATATTCTAAAAAGTATATTTTCTTAAGATTGTATAAGCCTTTTTTACAAACAGGTAACTGGCACAGCGGAAGCAGTTTCAGTGAAAAGTCTCCAATCCAAATGCCATTGTTCTTGTTTTCAGGGAGAGATTGTCCATGAGAAGACTTCTGCCCGTACCTCCCATACGTGTACTGCTTGTATAAGTACTTGCACTCAATGTGAACTCTGTTCTTTGCAGGACGGCTTCCACATTGGCTGGATATTGTAATGGATCTTGTGTTTGTTATCAGCTTGTTAATTTTCTATGGTGACACAAAGTTCACTTTATGATTTCACTGCAAGATAAAGGTGGGAGGATTTGAATCGGAGAGTACATTTATTTAAATGAATATAATATTTAGATATAATAATTAAAGTAGGAGAATGCTTGGCCGTTGAGTGGAGCCTCTTGTACAAAATTCAAAAAAACTTTGCGTTTAGTAACTGTAAACTTCACAGTTTCCTTCTACAGGAGATAAGCTGTTTCTTTGCGTACAGATACAATTTAGCGTACCACTGACCTGGGAAGAGAACCCAACTGTTCTGACTTACAGTATTTTTAGTCTGACTGCTAAAGTGTGCTTCTCCTTTGAAAAAGATATCCAGTATTACTTGGTATCTTCTTGTCATTCAGAGGGTTGCTTTGTTTGCTTTCTGAATACTTGATGCCTTTTTGTTCCACGTTATTCCTTTTGCAGTATTACGCCTTCTGTTTTTCTGATAGGTTGATTGAGATAGCAGGAAACAGATTCCCTACTTATTTTGACTTGGATGAAAAGCTGTTCTGCATGACCCGTAGCATTCACCTGTATCGAGAGCTGACCTGTAGCAGTGTACTGAAGAGGTATTCTTATCCAGAAATTAAAAAAAAAGTAATGACGACCGTTTGGACTGGATTGTCTAGAACAAAATTTGGTTTATATCAAAGTTTTATGAAGAGTAATTAATTTGAGGCCTTTTTAGGTTGATAACAACATGGTCTCCAATGAAGTAAAATTTCTACAGAAAGGCTAACATTGCTCTTTTAATTTCATAGCATGGGACTAATCCAGTTGATGTTTTCTAGTTTCTAATAGACAATTTCTATATGATCTGTTCCTTGTAGGCTTTTAAAGAGGAATGTTCATGTGACAGGTCTTATGTTGGATTGTGGATACACCAAGTGTAGGAGTTGTGTTTTCCTTGAAATAGGAATTTTTTTTCTCCTAAGCATGGTTTGCTTCCAGGAAGGCTGGGCCACTTCCAAAAGTGGGAGGGAGAAGTTGTTTAACAGCCATCAGCCTAAACACTACTGTTGGTGGTGTTGTAGTGTCATGTTTTTGCCTTATGTTAATTTGTGAACACTTTTTGCCATTAAAATGGAGGTGTTTTTTTAGCATCATCTTATATATTTTATGTATTTTATGTTAGTGGGGGAATTATTGTAAGAACAGTTTCTTCTTCTAGTGCAGCTTTATTAGAGAAAAGCTTGGCAACGTATTATCAGCAGCAGAAGTTTGACATACTATCTTTGAAGAAAATGGATGTGACCTTCTGCATGTATAGCCACCAAAGATTCTGGTGTTGCCTCTGGGTTGCTGCTACTGTGAGCAAAAAGGCCCAGTTTCAGCATCCGCTGTCTGCCATTCAGGGGTAGCACAGCATAGTGTTGTGAACTAAAGGTTCTTCCAAACCCCTTTTGGAAAGATCCTGCCTTGGGTTGCATGGCTCACTGGAGCTTCAGTTTCCTTTCCAAATCTCTTCATGTTAGTGGACGTGGTGTGTGAGGGTGAAAAAGAGAAGCTGACTCGCAGCTTATTGAAGTAAACGTTTTATTTAAACAATCTCAAGGTTATAAAATGTTTCTCTTGTGTAAATAATGTTATCAATGACTGGTTTTTTTTAATTTCTTTTTTAGGATTATGTCTTTGGAAGAAGAAGTAATTTCAAAGAAAGTTAAACTCATAATAATTGACTCAGTTGCTTCAGTTGTCAGAAAGGAGTTTGACACAAAGCTCCAAGGCAACCTAGCAGAGAGGAGTAACTTCTTGGCTAGAGGAGCATCAGTGTTGAAGTATTTGGCAGAGGAGTTCTCAATACCGGTAAGTTCTTCCTCCTTTCTTAGCTTTTTGCCTTACAGTGTCAAGTAATAAATTCTGAGAAGAATGAAAATGACAGGAAGATGAAAACCAGGAAGAACTTCTGGCAAGTATCTTCAAGGAGATACCAGTTGGGGAATGGGGGAACAGTAACTATTCTGCTTGGCAGTTTTTGGTGTGTGGAGTTTTTCTGGGGGGATTGATTTTTTTGGTTGTGGTTTTTTTTTTTTTTTTAGGACTTCAGATAAGATTTTCCAGCTGTGTTTCACTGTTAGTTTCTTTATGAAATCTTTTATTTTGCTGCCATTAAATATTGCTAGCCTTGATGGTTCCCTTCTGATGCAGTGCTTACTCTGACTTGGTGCAGATCTTTTTCTGCTTGTGTCCCTTCTACTTAAGTTTATAGAATCTCAAAAGACCTTATGCTCTGGAGCAGTGTAAATTCCTTTTGAGACTGATAATGTATGCTAATGAACGCAGAAAGGAAGGTAACAGCTCAGCAAATCCTTGTCTGTGGACTTGCCCATAAAATACAGAGGAAGACACGGACACTCAGGGCAGGGACTGGGTGGAATTAATTGATCCAAAAGTGCTTTGGGAGATGTAAGCTGCATAAATGCGTGTGTGTGGTCATTCATTATATGGTGTACAGAGGATCATATAAACTCAAAAGATGTCCTTGAGATTCAACTCTTGGCAATATTTCCTAGTATGGGTAACCTGCTTGTGACTTGTCACTCTGGTGTAGGAGAGGAAACTGACAATGACCTGAGTAAGACTGGTGAGGCTTTTTCCCTCTGGTGCTCTTGAGGTCACAGCAACTGTCATACCAGAAATACACACATCAGAGGTGTGGAATTGGCTGACTTAAGAGGAATGAATTTCCTTCTGTCGTATAATTTCTGAAGACTTTTGATGGGGAAGATTAAACCCTGCCTAAGTACCTTTAAAGTTCAAGTGCAAAATACAGTGTCCTAGTTAGTGCACCCAGTAATGTTTACAGTGCTTTAACAAGCTAGGAAAGAATTGCAGGTGTGTACATTCTCATATTTTGGGAAAATATTATGCAGGGGAGAAGTTTGATGGGAAGATTTTTCTCTCTTTTCTTCTCCTTTAGACACTCCCTTGTCCCCCGTCCACCTTCATTAAAATGAGCTGGGTTGGAGCCTCTGACAGTTCAGGCTGCTGCCCTGCTTGCAGTCAGAGGGCTGGTGTGTTGATATTCACAAAAGTCTTAGAGTTGTACAATATGAAGTAGCCTGTGGTTGTGATCTTAATTCATCCTATGTAAGAAGAAAATAAGGCTCAAATGTTTAGAGGTTTCCATTATGCCTCAAAGCAAACACATTAGCTTTAACATTTGTGATACTTGGTGTGCGAGTCTGTCCTTGCTTCTCACCGTGAACATTTTTGGTAAGGAGTTCTGGGATTCTGAGTGGAAACTTGTGCTCTGGTTACAGCTCTGTCTTTTTGAATTAGTCCATGAGATATCTTACCTTATAAATAAAATATTTAAAGACGTGTAAATAAACAGATTGAAAGCTCATATATAAAGCACCTACTGATTAGGCTTTTTTATTCAATGGAAATCCAACTGTACTTTCATTTATTGTCATCTTCAGCACATAGTGCTTGTGAGTTGGTTCTGAAGTATTTTAAAGATCTCTTAAATTTTATGTTACAAAATAAAGTGTAGTAACTCGTATTAGTTAAGAATTCTAGAGGAGGCCTTGGCTAGATATTTGAATTCTTGCAAACACGGATCCCTAGGAAAGGCTGTGTATGAGTAACACACAAAAATCTGACGTCAGAACGTGTTGTGCATCTGCGAGTGTTGGTGTATACTAGAGATAAGCCTGCTGTTGCGTACATTGCATTAACCTCTCCTACTTGAGGTTACAGAGTATCCAAGGTTCTCATTGCAAATAACTACTTTGGAATTATTTCGGATGTTTTTACTTACCTAAAAAATCATCAACCTATACTTGGGGCTAAAAAAAAAAAGTAAGTTTCCAAAGTCATTTAGATCACTAATCAATTAGATGTATGAAACTATGTTACATTTATTTCATTGCAGAATCCACTGAGCTGGGCAACAAATTGGGGAATTCAGTCTGAGACTGCAAAAGGTTTGGAGTTGATGACTGATAGGAGTTGAACTGGAAGTCAATTCTTTTGGCCGTACCTAAAAGATCTGGTGAAAAACTTTCACCAAGTTGTTCAAGGGAATCAGAAATAAGGCTGTGTAATATCTGTTTAACAATAACTGTTACTGGAGTAGTGCATCTGGTGTTATCAGTCCAGGGAGGATGGTGAAGAATCAGCCTCCAGAGAATAGCCTTGAAAATGACTGGGAGAAGGGGAGAGCAGTCTGAGTAATTAAGACATAAGGTGCTTGTTTTGTTTAGCTTAGCTAAAGAAACGTTAAAGGTTTCTTCATTAGTCGCTATGTGCCTACTTGAGGAAGAGGTATGTGATAAAAGCAACCTTCTCTTCAGCTGACAAAGGGACACCACAGTTCTGTGGTTGCAAGCTGAATTAAGCAAGTTCAGACTTCAAATAAGGGGTGTGTTCTTACTGGACTAATTAATCATTGGAATGCATTACTAAACATAAATAGCTTCTTGTCACTGAGGGTTTTTAAATCAGCTTCCCTCCCCATTTCCTAAAAAGGAAATGGGTTCAAATAGGATTAAATTTGGGGAAACCCTGTACTACTACTATATTATGCTAGAGTTCAGATGAGTTTAACACAGTTCTTTCTGTTGATGTTGATAAACTCTAGCTGTTTATAATGGTGTGTTGCTGGTGTCAGGGCACTGAGTTTGATGTGCAGGTGTGACTGGCGTTCATAGCTTGCGCTGAACTCGAGGCGAGCTGTTTCAAACCAAAGTAGCTCTATGTGGGATGAAGGGTTTGGAAAAAAGCTGACCTTAACTGCCTCATTGTTGAGTAACCTCTCTGCACCTCTGCCTTCACTTTGTGAAATGGAAATAACAGAGCTGTTAGTTTTGAGGATGCTGTGAGGATAGGGTCATTATATTTGAGAAGGCACTCGTACTGTGTCCGTGAACAATGCATAGATGCTTACTGGAAAGTAACACAATCCTCAGTGTAAAATTTAAATAATGTGTAGTAAGTGAAACCTTAATTCATCTTTTGAGATGTGAAAAAATATTAAACACATTCATTGAATGGCACCATCTTAGCCACTAAATGAAGCAAGTGAAAGGTTTGTATGATAGTGAATTTCTGCTTGACCTAATGGTTTTTGATATTTTTTGTTTGTTTGTAAAGTCCAGAGAAACACAAAGCGCTTTTTTTTTTTTCCCTTATGTATGGACGTTAGTAAATTGTAAGTTGTTTCTCAAAAATTGAACTATGGTGCCTGACTTCCTTTTCTGATCCCTTCTTCCTCTTAACTTGGTGGTAAGCCTGGTTCCACCCTGGGCTCTTTAGTTGATGCCAGGGCGAGAGGCAGCAGGTGGTTTGGATCACTGCTGGGCTATTGATGGGCCACCTGGCAGCAACCCTGATGACTTAACGGTCACTGAAGCGTTTCCTCCGGGGGACACTGTAGCAGTGTCCCTTTTTTCTCCTTTTGTGCACTCACCCTTAACCAAAAGCTACATTTTTCTGCCAGGTTGAAACTAGCCAGTCAACTCAAAAGTGATTGCCAGAAATGGAGGACAGTTTGACTGTAAATCAAACAAAAAGCACTTTATTTTTGACATCCTGTGAATATGTAAAGCTCTATGAAAAGTTTGTTGCATTTATCTGATTTGAAGCCTGTGACACTTGAGAGCCTTTGGATTGGCATGTTTTCTGTTATGATGTGTGTTGATGCTGTCTACAAGATCACATATTTAAGCAGCAGTAATTAGTTTCCTGTCTAGTTTTGTGACTTCCTCAGCTTCCTTAAAAAGAATAGGAAAAAAAACCCAACCCACTTCGGATTTTCTTTCTTCTCATCTTCCATATTCATGGGGAACTATTTATTATTCGTAAGTGGTATTCAGTAAAAGTCGTTTAGTGTTCATGCTGGTTGAGAGAGAAGTGACTTCTCTATTTCAGTGAAGAGCGAAAAAATGAAACCCCAATATGAGTAGAATTGTTCTTGACGTGTAACTGTTTAGCTTATCAGAATTGTTATTTATAGTCCTTGCTCTTCTAGTGGTTAGTACTTGAGAATATGTATGAAGCTGGCTAGACATCTCCATGGAAGAGCACTCTAAAAATTTCAGTTGCAAAACCAAACTGTTTTAAGCATTCTTCTAAGTGTCAAATTGAGACTGAATATGTAACTTGCGTCATAAATCCCTAAGACTAATCAAATTATAGCGCTGGCTGTCCTTTATACTTTTGTCTGAGTTGCGTTCCTAGATCTGAGAACTGAATCTTTGTTTTTCATAAGCATGTTGGTTATTATTACTACCAGCAAATGTATAATAGAATCTCTCTCTCTTTTTTTATCTTTAATTGTTCTTTCTGAGAACATGAAATAGGAGGAGAGATTTTTCATCTCTCACTTGTGATTTATAGTGCAAATGAAAGGCAAACCCTATGTAACTATTGTCTAATGCTTTTATTTGCTATGCTAAGTAAGTTAACAGTAGTTAAGAAGCGCATAATTTCCACAGGTAGTATTTTTTTCCCCTTTAGATGCATCATTTTCCATTGAAAAACTAAAAGTTTACTGTATCAATAGTGATAATATGACAGCAATTAAAGCTGTCACAGTCAATATTCCTTTTACACTCAATTCTCACATTTTTGCCTCAGTGCTTCAGTCTTGCATTCTGCTCTGTAAAGTTTATACCCAAGATTTTAATTTGCTTTGGAAAGCCAAATGTTTAGCTAAATATATATTTGGATTTAGGTTGCGTAAGTGTTTTTTTTTTCTTCTCAAAATCAATTTATATGTGCAAATTACTTGACATCTGCAGTGCCTTTTCTGCTGTCATTGGCTAAGTGTGTTTAATTGTATCATCTCAGCTTCCTGC